CTTATGCTGCTGAGCTATATCTCTGGCTCTCCAGTGCAGTTTTAATCAGGCCTGGCTTTCTAGGTTCTATCTCTAGGCCCTGTCTATCTGATAGAGACCACTATGAAGCAAGACTTAAATTAACTAGTTGGCTTTTTATGTTTACTTACGAATCTCTCCAAAGCCTGGGCTCCTTGTCTGGAAGTGGGTGACGGACCCATAGTAAGTGAACCTCTGTGAGTCACTAATCAAGATCACAGCCAAGGACACCTGGATCCAACCTCAGCTAGACAAAGACTGTAGCCTCAGGCATCTCACTCCTAGGTGGATTAACTTAATTCCTTTCTTGGAGAAGTCCTTGAATGGTTCTGCCCTTCTTGAGTACTTCCCGACTTCTGATAACCAAATAAATATGGGCCACCCAGAGAAGGTCTTGGTCTTAGCCCTGAAAGAATCTTGAATTCTATGAGTGGGCTTCAATCCTCCTGGAGCTCTGAAATCATTCCATTTGCCTCTTTTTATTTAGCCTTCGCTGTACACTTGTTTAGGAGATTGTGGACCTAATCAGCCCGCAATAACTAAGGGAAATTATTAACTTGATATCTGTCCCCACAAGGGAGAAGGTAGGAGGGCATCAGGTGTTGTGTGTGGTACAGGGGATTGAACCAGGGCCTTTGCACTGAGCTACATCCCCAAGGTCTCACTAGTGCTGGGATTGTAGGCATGAACCACCACACCATCCAGGAAAATTTTTAATTGGGGTAACCATAAAAATGGCCGATGGCTGGGCGTGTTGGTGCACACCTATAGTGCCAGCACTTGGGCGGAGGCAGGATGATCACCTGATCCAACTGACCCCAGGTCAGGAGCCACCTCCAGCCTCGAGAACTGTTCTGTGGTCGGCTTCTGGACCAGTCCCTTCTGAGGTTGTGTCTTGGTTACTTTCCTCTCGTTGCTGAGACAAAATACCCAACACCCAAAATTAAGGAAGGAAAGGTTTATTTAGCTCACAGTTTGTGGAGGTTTCAGTCCATATTTGGCTGTTTCTGAGGCAGAAGGTAGCAAAGCAACAAGAGCAAAGGGGGGAACTGCAGCAAGCAGCCTCTTTCCCTCCCTTACACTGCGAACAGGCTGCCCCCGCCCAAGGGGCCTGTAGCTCTCACATAACCTCCATGCCCTCCTCCTGCACAGGCTCAGGATGGATACAGAGTAGGCACCCTGGCTCCCTGCTGAGTCACTTAGCCAAACCTCTAGACTCCCCAAGTTGACACTGTATCAACCATAGCAGGCAGTAAAGCTGGGATGTGTGGATTTGTCTCCCAAGCTGGCACTTGCCTGCAAGGTGAGAAACTTCCACCCACCCCCGCTAAATCACAGCACGGTGCCGGGTCCTGGAAGTCAGGAGCCCTGGATTCAATGGCCCTGTTAAGGTCACTCCTTCCCTTTCCTGGCAGCACATGGCGAAGTCCTGGGTCATGGAATTCATGCCTAGGACGTCCTGCTTTAAGCATGCTTTAGTTGGGGCACTAGCTATGTTTAACTGCCTGGGGTGGACCCCAGGAACGATAACGAGCCCCACCTCATAGGGATACAGGACACAACATGGGTAAGGTACCTAAGGCTGGCATGGTGGTGCCCCCCTGTAATCCCAGCACTCAGGAAGCTGAGGCAGGAGGACTGTTTAAAGTTCGAGGTCAGCTCTCTCTCAAACAACCAAAACTGAAAAGGGACCTCAGAGGGCGTCAGGGAGAGCATGCTGGAAGCAGCGTTGCTACATCAGTGCTGACGGACAGGCAGGGCACACAGCTTGGTTGCACCCTGGGAGGCCGCTTCCTGACTCTGTGGCCTTGTGGCCTCACTTAAGGTCCTTTAACCTCCCCAAGCCTCGGTTTCTGAATTAGAAATTGAGGGATCAGGACTAGTCCAGGACTTCCTGAGTTGTTACAAGGAGCTGTTACGGCTCTTTCCGGGCGGCCCCCCAAGCCTCATGTGTTCACAGGTGGGGCTTCAGGGAGGGGCGGATCGCGGGTGTGCGACACTGAATTAGCCACCGATGCGTATTCAGCCGGTGCGATCCTCGGTGCGAAGCCCGGCCGGAAGCCGCTGGTCACTGGGGCGCTCGTGCGGCCCCCGCCCACTTGATGCGGCCCTACTTCCGGTCTGCCTTTCCTCGCGGTCTTGCTCCTCTGCCAGGCCATGGGCCTTGCAAACCTCTACAAACTGTGAGCCGATAAACCTTTTGTCAGGTATTTTGCCCCAACTTCGAGAAGGTAACTAAGACAGAAGCCGTCAGGTGAGACCGGCCTGTGAGCCGTGCAAAGGGCCAGCCCGTCAGTTCCTCTGCCCGCGCCCTGCGCCCCCATCCCGTGTCAGGTTCCTGAATGCACTTTGTTCCCGTCTTAACATTATGAAAACACGATGATTCTCAGAATTAACAGCCTCCTAAACTCATGCTTCGCGGCACTCTTTTCTTCACAGCGACGGATATAATGCCGCAGTCACTTAGACTGGCACGTACATGACACAGCCCCCCATACGTGCCACCTCAAGTTTAAACGAGGCACGGTGGACGGGGGGACACAATGAGAGAAGCTGAGGCAGGAGGGTCGCAAGTTCAAGTCCCACTTGAGTGATTTAGCAAAACCTTGTCTCAAAATTTTAAATTTTAAAAAAGGGCTGGGGATGTAGCTCTGTGTGAAGGTCCTGGGTTTAGTCCCCAGCACCACACACACACACACACACACACACACACACACAGCAACCACTAAATGAGCTATAGAAAGTATAAAAATCATTTTAATACAAGATCATGGAAAGCAAGTCGGGAGAGCTGAATCCAACAGTCACTAAATATCAGTGAAGTCAGAATCACTACTGCAAGGTCAATACCATATTTTCTTGCCATTTTGTTTTTCTTTTCTCCACGTTTATTTATTAATTTATTTATTTTGGTACCGGGAATCGAACTCAGGACCTTGTGCTTGCAGGCAGGCGCTGTGCCACTGAGCTATATCCCCGGCCCTGCCCCACGCTGAAGGGCGAAGTCTATACCCCGTGGCCCCTAGGGCTGGCAGCCGGGCGGGAGGTGGCCCCATCACAGGTTGCCTCTGCTGTCCGGCCTCCTTGAGGATGCTTCCTGTACTTGGCCAGACCTCTTAGGACGTCCAGGTTGGCATCGGGGAGGAGGAGCACGCAAGGACCTGCGCTCGGGGGAGAAGCACGCACGCAGGGGGAACTGGCAGAGATGGCTGCGGGGTGCCAGGCGGGTGTCCTTTCCTCCCGTCAGAGCTGCTGCTTGGCCATGGCTTTCCATCTAGGTCTGCTTCCCCGACCGGAAAGCGAACCTGGGTGGAGAGAAAGCGCAGGGTGGGCAGAGCATGGGCAGCTTGTTTGGCCCCAGGGACTCCAGCTCTTATTCAGGGCTTCATTCATTTATTCATCCATTTATTTTCCTTTCCAAGCTTTTTCTTTCTGGTACTGGGAACTGAGCTTAGGACCTTGTGCTTGCTAGGCAGGCGCTTGTGCTACTGAGCTATATCCCCAGCCCCAAACTTCTTTTTTTTAACAAGGTCTCACTATGTAGCCCAGGCTGGCCTCAAACTCATGGTGATCCTCCTGCCTCAGCCTCCAGAGTGCTGGGATAACAGGTATATGCCACCAAGCCAGGTACCAAACTTTTTTATTTACATTTTTTATTTGTATTAGTCCTTTTATTTCTCTTCCCCCTCCTCCTCCTCCCTCTCCTTCTTTTTTTTTTTTTTGGGGTACCGGGAATCAAACTCAGGACCTCATGTTTGCCAGGCAGGTGCTGTGCCACTGAGCTACATCCCTGGCCCTATTACTCCGTGTTTGCAGTGCACGTGATTACATTCACCACAGAGAGTTGCTACATGAACAACACATATCCATTTTCCTTTTTTTTTCTTTTTGAGGCAGGGTCTCACTATGCAATTCAGGCTGGCCTTGAGCTCACTTTGTAGCCCAGGCTGGTCTCGAACTCGCAACGATCCTCCTGCCTCAGCCTCCTGAGTGCTGGGATTACAGGGGTGCACCCCCACGCGCAGCTCTCCTCTTCTCCCATCTGTTGGTTTCCTTCCTATTATTCATGGCTGCTTAGGGGACAGGCACACTATTAATATTCCTTTTTATTCCTTTAGGGGACTGGGGGTTTAACCCAGGGTTCACGAATGCTAGGCCAGTACTCTACGACTAAGCTACACCCCAGACCTTTTTTTTATTTTTTTTATTTTTAGACACGGTCTTGTTGACTGCCTACGCTGTCCTAGAACTTCGATCCCTCTGCCTCAGCCTCCCTAATAGCTGGGATTACAGGTGTGCTGATTCATGTTTAATAAATGAGCAAACTGGGGTCCTATGAGCTTAGCGAACAAGCCCAAGGTCCCACAGCGGGCTGAGTGATAAGGAAGGAGTCAGGTCCAGAGCCACACTTACTCACTGTGGTGTCCCAACAGACCGTGTCCAACACCTGTTTGTTTTTTTTTTTTTTTTTTAAATTGTCAGAGGATTTATGACAGAGCAAAAGATAACCTTCAGTGGTATCTATAATTCTAAAACAGAACTAGCTGGGCGTGGTGGCACATGCCTGTAATCCCAGCACTCGGGAGGCTGAGGCAGGAGGATCGTTGGGAGTTCAAGACCAGCCTGGGCTACAAAGTGAGCTCAAGTCCAGCCTGAACTGCATAGTGAGACCCTGTCTCAAAAAAGATCAAAAAATTAAAAAAAAAATAATAATAAAACAGAGCCGGTGGGCCAGGGATGTAGCTCAGAGGTACAGCTACTGCCTGGCAAGTGCAAAGTCCTGTGTTCGATTCCCAGTACCAAAAAAAGAAAAAAGAGCTGGCTGTAGTGGTGGTGCATGCCTGTAATTCCAGCATTCTGGGAGGCTGAGGCAGGAAGATCACAAGTTCAAGTCTATCCTGGGTAACAATCTATCTCAAAAAAATAAAAAAGGGCCAGGATACGGCTCAGGACAGAGACGCCGGGTTCCATCCCTGGCACCCTGTCCTGGGGTTCGGATGCAGGTGTTGGGGACATGCTGGCCACTGTCCCCTAGACCCACACACATGCCTCTCCCCCCGCCTCTTGTACTGGGCGATGACCCCCCCCCCCCGCCCCGCAGGATGTACGCTCACTGCCACAGCTCCACCATCACCTCCCACATGTGCTCCTCACCACTCATCTCCTGCCACCACAGCCTCCGCCAGGCCCCCGTCCCCTCCCGCGCGTCCTCGACCTGCCTTGGGCACAAGCTGCCTCACTTTCCCACACTGGGCTCGACTCCAAAGAAGCGACAAAAGAAGAGACACCTTTACAGCCAGGCGTGCCGGCACAGGCCTGCAATCCCAGCACCATGGCAGGCTGAGGCCAGAGGACGGCAAGTTCAAGCCCAGTGTGGGCAACTTAGCAACTCAGTGAGACCCTGGATCAAAACACAGTAACTTTAAAAAGGGCTGGGAATGCAGCTCAGTGCAAAGGTCCTGGGTTCAATCCCCAGTACTGGGGAAGAAAAACCCCCCATGTTTCCCCAGCCCACTTTGATTAGTTTCTTTCTTTCCTTTTCTTCCTTCCTTCCTTCCTTCGTTTTTTGTTTTGTTTTGTTTTTTGGTACTGGCAATCAGACTCAGGACCTTGCGCTTGCCAGGCAGCCGTTTATGCTACTGAGCTGTATCACCGGCTCCCCAGCCCACTTTGAATAAGACCCCAAACCTCACCAGGCTCCCATGGCCTCTCCACCCTCACCTCTGCTCTAAGCCTCTTCCCTAAACCATCTGCGGCCTCCACACCCCCTCCCACCCACAGGGATGCTCCACCTTCAGCCGTTGTTGTCCTTCAGGGCTCAGTCTAAGTCACCTCTTCCAGAGGCCTTCCAGGACTGCAGCCCAGCCATTTCTGAAGCTCTGTCACTTGGGGTGCTCTGACTGGCCTGTACGTTTATTTCTCTTGCTGTTTCTGTCCTGCTCTCCCTACTAAAATTTCTGCGACTTCTCCACCGTTGTATCCTCAGAACTTAGAACAACGCCTGGCACACATCAGACCCCTGATTAAAAAATAGTTTTGTTTTGTTTTGAGACATGGTTTCGCTATGTAGTCCAGGCTGGCCTTGAACTCACTGTGTAGCCCAGGCTGACCTGGAGTTCATGCCGATCTTTCCACCTCAGTCTCCCAAGTGCTGGGCTTACAGGCGTGGGCCCCCACACCTGGCTTAGAAAGCCATTTTTTTTTTACATTGCTGGAGATGGAACCCGGGCCTGATACATGCTGAGCTATACCCACAGTCTGTATTTCCTAGGTTTGTTATTTTGTTGTTGTTGCTGTTGTTTGCTTTTTTGAGACAGAAACATTCTATATATGTCCTTAAGGGTGTAATTACACATGAAATAAGCCCGAAGCTGACCAGCAAATGATCTCAGTTGGATGATGTACTTAAAATAGGTCAATTCTCAGAGACAGAAAGGAGACTCAAGATTATCAGTGGCTGGAAGAAAGGAAAACAAGGAATTACTCTTTCACGTATAGCTTCCTTCTGAGATGATGAGAAAACCTGGAAATGAATACTACTGATTTCAACAATATTATAGCTGGGGATATAGCTCAGTGGCATAAGCGCCTGCCTGGCAAACGTGAGGTCATGAGTTCG